GGAAAATGATACTCCTCTAGAGAAAATGATTCCAGGGCAGATCCCAGGATTTGTGGGATCCCCCTACTATGAGCTAGTGGTTACCATTGAAAAATGGGGTCCCTTATGCATTACGGGCAATATCTCCCCATATCGCATGGCAGATTACTTTCAGGGACTTAGCAAGGATGTGCTGATTACTAAAGAAAGACAACTGGCTGCCTCCACTGTGGCATGGCCACTATTAAGTGGCTTGAATAATGCAGAAATAATACTTCAGAGAATGAAAATCAACTTTTGAAAGACCGTATTGAAAAACTAGAGCAAGAACTTGGTGTATTAACAGGGAAGAGGCCAATTCTACATCTTCCCATAGGCCAAGTTCATAGCATTTCAATCAACAGTGACCGGACTCCTGAATCAACAGACTTTGTTGATCAGGAAAATAAAAAATCCAAATTAGATCTTGAATATCCAATTCTGACCGATTAGAAGTCCGTCCTGTCATAACTCAGAAAACAAAAATGGTGCAGGACCCACCAGCAGGGGTGCCGCTTGATCAGTGGCCCCCTGCCCAGACTCATTGACATGTAACGGCCCGGCCATACATGGCAAAAGAATTAATGGATTGAGTACAGTGATTTCAGCAGAAACCTAGAGAAAGTGTGCTGGCTTGGTTATTAAGACTGTGGGATTCTGAAGCAGAAAGTGTCTTGGTGAATAACCCAGAAATAGCCAAGCTGGCCACCATGACTGTCCATCCTGCTCTCAGACAGAGGTTATATGTGGGTAATCAATACCTTGATGAAAACAGTTCTATAATAGAATGGTTAATGGCGGCCTGTGGTATGGTATGGCTGAATAAATCGGATATACCTCTACATACAGGGATGTGGTCCTCCATGGAGGACCTCCAGAATTATATCTGTGAACTGGGCGTGTATGACGTCATCTTAGATGCATGTGACATCATTTGGGGTGTTTTACGTCATTTGGTCCGTGTGAATGTAGAATTAACGATTTATTGGTCCTGAAAAAATATTCAGAAAGTTATGGCGTTAGTGGACATGGGAGCGGAAACATCAATTATCTACGGAGATCTGACAAAATTTAATGGGGACAGAGTGATGGGACAGACGATTCCTGTCACCCAAACATGGTTAAAACTGGGGTTTGGGCGTCTCCCACCCCGGGAGTACAAGGTGTCTATTGCCCCAGTCCAAGAATATATCCTGGGCACAGATATTCTATGGGGTCTGGCTTTCCAGGCAACTGTGGGAGAGTTCAGACTTCAACAAAGTTGTATCAGTATCCGGGCGGTGTAGGCAATAATAAGAGGCCATGCGAAACATGGGCCTGTTTGCCTGCTGAAACTGTGCCAGATTACTAACGTGAGACAGTACAGACTCCCGGGTGGGCAAGATGAAATATCAAGGATGGTGCAGGAATTAGAAAAAGTGGGCATTGTAAGACCTGCACACAGCCCATATAATTCCCCCATATGGCCAGTGCGAAAGTCGGATGGCACATGGAGGATGACAGTAGATTGCAGAGAATTAAATAAGGTCACACCGCCTATTCATGCGGCCGTACCCAATATTGCCTCCCTAATGAACACATTGAGTAGGGAGATAAAAACCTATCATTGTGTCCTAGATCTAGCAAATGCATTCTTCAGTATCCCAATTGCTGAGGCATCGCAAGATCAGTTTGCGTTTACGTGGGGAGGCAGGCAGTGGACCTTTCAGGTCCTGCCACAGGGGTACGTGCATTCACCAACGTACTGTCACAATCTAGTGGCGCGTGACCTGGCTGGTTGGAGAAAACCTGATGATGTTAACCTATATCATTATATTGATGATTTCCTGATGACATCCAACTCACTGGAGGCAGCAGGACAGGCGGCAGATTCATTAACCACCTATTTACAACAGAGGGGATGGGCTATAAATCCCCAAAAGGTGCAAGGTTTGGGCCTGTCTGTAAAATTCCTGGGGGTGGTGTGGTCAGGAAAGAGCGAAGTGCTACCCAGTGCTGTCATAGATAAGGTTCAGGCATTCCCAGTCCCTACAACATCGAAGTAGCTGCAAGAGTTTCTAGGTATATTAGGTTACTGGCATTCCTTTGTATGTCCACCTAGCACAGCTGTTAAGGCCACTATACAGACTCAAAAAAAGGGGCAGCTATGGGACTGGGGGAAAACTGAACAGGATGCTTTCCAACAAGTGAAACTTGCAGTTAAACAAGCTCAGGCATTGGGTATATTCGATCCTACCCTCCCAGCCGAGTTGGACGTTCATGTTACTCAAGACAGCTTTGGTTGGGGCCTGTGGCAACGCCAGAGTTCTGTTTGGAACCCCACTGGTTTCTGGTCTCAGGTTTGGCACGGAGCAGAAGAAAGATACAGTATGATTGAAAAACAGTTATTGGCTGCCTATTCAGCATTACAGGCAGTAGAACCAATAACTCAAATGGCTGATGTTATAGTCAAGACCACTCTGCCAATTCAGGGGTGAGTGAAAGATCTGACCCACCTTCCTAAGACAGGGGTGGCCCAAGCACAAACAGTGGCACGGTGGGTCGCCTATCTCAGCCAAAGGAGCAGTCTGTCTTCATCACCCTTGAAAGAAGAACTGCAGAAGATCCTAGGCCCAGTGACGTATCACAGTGATGCACCAAAAGAAATACTGGTCGCTCCACCAGAGAAGAGTCCCGTTCAGGAGGGAAAATATCCTATCCCTGAAGATGCCTGGTACACAGATGGGTCCAGCAAGGGCAACCCGAGCAAGTGGAGAGCAATAGCATACCATCCTTCCACCGAGACAATCTGGTTCGATGAGGGGGATGGTCAGAGCAGCCAACGGGCAGAACTGCGAGCCGTGTGGATGGTTATAACCAAGGAACCTGGCGATGGCATCCTGAACATCTGCACAGATAGCTGGGCTGTGTACCGGGGGCTCACTCTGGATTGCACAGTGGGCCACCCAGGAGTGGACTATCCACTCACGACCGATCTGGGGCAAAGACATGTGGTTAGATATATGGAATACGGTCAAACACAGGACTGTACGTGTCTACCACGTTTCTGGTCATCAGCCCCTACAGTCACCAGGAAACGATGAAGCCAACACGCTGGCCCGAGTTCGATGGATTGAGAATTCACCATCTGAGAACATCGCCCGCTGTTTACATCAGAAGCTACGGCATGCTGCACGAAAGACAACGTGGGCAGCTGCTAAAGCATGGGCACTGCCCATACAACTATCTGATATCGTCCAGGCATGCCAGGATTGCAACGCTTGCTCCAAGATGAAACCGAGATCGTTGCCCGAAACAACAGTTCACCTTACTAGAGGACACAATCCTCTCCAGCAATGGCAGGTGGATTACATCGGGCCCCTTCCTCACTCCGAGGGGGTAAGATACGCCCTGACCTGCAAGTGGGCTACTGCAGGCCTATCCAGTACTGAGAGCAAACCAGGCACATAACATCAAGGCACTCACTAAACTGATGTCTGCCTACGGGACACCTCAAGTCATTGAGAGCGACCAAGGGACTCGTTTTACTGGTGCAACGATACAGCGCTGGGCAGAAGAAAATAACATCAAATGGCGATTCCACCTGCCATATAATCCAACGGGGGCAGGCCTCATCAAACGTTATAACGGTATTCTTAAGGCTGCCCTGAAGACAGACTCCCAGTCCCTGTAGGGGTGGACGAAAAGACTGTATGTGCACTGGAACAGGCTGCCCAGGGAGGTGGTGGAGTCTCCTTCTCTGGAGATGTTCAAGACCTGCCTGGATGCCTACCTGTGCTACCTGGTGTAGGGAACCTGCTTTGGCAGGGGGGTTGGACTCGATGATCTCAGGAGGTCCCTTCCAACCCCTACAATTCTGTGATTCTGTGATTCTGTATGAAACCCTGCGGGACCTGAATGAAAGACCTCGAGACGTCAGACCCAGTGCCTGAGAATGTTGTAGACGACATGGGCCACCCTGCTTAGGATCCAAATTACATGCACTAATCATCAGGTAAGACCCCAGATTGATTATGAAAATAATATTCTGCTCCCTGCCCCTGAGAATTTAGATCTGGGTACGCATAAAATAAAATGGCCCTGGAAGGTGCAGGTAGGACCCAAGTGGTGTGGCCTACTTGCACCTTGGGGAGATTGTTGGAGGTGGGAGGCTCAGTAGTCCCCCGAGTAATAGGTACATGGCCTAGTGATATTGTGGTCAACACTCCGATCTTTATTGCTAAAGGGACCCCCATCATGTCCCTGCGGCAGACCAGGACACCTCCTTTGGTGCCTGATATCGTTATGCAGCTGCAGATATCTGGCCAGAAGGTGTGGTACAGGCGGCCAGGACATACTCCAGTACAGGCGGAAGTGTTGACCCCGGATAGAAATACGGCCTGTATCTTGCCCTGGAGAGCAGACCTTCCCCTCCTGGTATCTCTGAAACATCTGTGTTATTCCCCGTGAGTCTGTGAGCCTTCAGGATCACCAGAAAGAACAAAATGCCATCAAGCATTCCAGCATTGCTGTCATATCACGTACAACACCCGGTGATGGTCTGCATGGGACTGATGGAACATAGAACGGACCTGCACCTCAGGACCTCATGCCTCCAGTTACATCGTCGAGCACTGGCCCATAGAAGAATATGGACATTCACTGATCATGACTCGTCTTGAAATGTACCAACACGTGTTGCAATGAAAAATTGTATAAGCATCGCAATATATTGGATCTCTGTATTAGGGAAAGCTCACCCTTTAGTTAACCTGATCACTAGTTCAGGCTGTGAAGGGATGGAGTGTATGGGATCTGCTGAGTCAAGGCCTGAACCTCTGATTACCTGAGGCGAGCCATGAGTCAGCCAGAGGAGCACAGGTGAAGGCAATTCACCTGTGCTGCAGGAAGGGGTGGAGCCTGGCTGCACCCCTCCTAGACCTATTTAAGAGCTGAGTACTAGTCAGGAAGGTTCTTTTCTGGAGACTGCCTCTGCTGGAGTTCTGCGAGTGAGCCCAGGATAGGGGTAAGCCTTCTGTTTATTCTCTTTTGTTATCGTAGTCTGCTTTACCTAACTCTCTTGGTTTATTTTGTGATTATAACATTCTAATATTCTTTGATTATACAGTATATTTTTGCTTTTAATGAAGATGTAGACATTAGCAATGAAAAATCAAATATGATTTGGTTATCTTTCATGACTAAGCTCTCTAAGTGGCAAGAAGAAATATTTAAGGGATGATGTAGTCAATTTAGCACTACAGAAAACAGTTATGATCAGTAACTAATAGCATACAGTTAAAACCAGTAGTCAGACTGCATGAGAATTATAAAGCAGCAGGGAAAGCCTCTTGCATGCTAAAAAACTCCAGGAATTTCTACGTGTGCTGCTTGTAAACTCTCACAGCAGCTCTGCTGAGGCTGTGTGAGACAGTTGTCCTTATAAACGGCCTCTTCCCAGGTGCAAAAAGGTACAAGTTTGCTCTGTGTTAAGCTGTATATTCATCCCCAGCAGTAGAGGTTGCACAGTCTCTGAGGAACATTTTAACTGTACCAGGAACTCCCAGTGCAATGCTCCTTCCAAACTGCACTTTGACAGAAAATGCCTGAAGTTCACTTCAGTAGCTTTCTAAACAAACAACAGCAGCATATCCATGTTTAACGAGTAGGTCTGTGCATTGGAGCTGTGACAGAGTGAAAATGGAAGGCAAGTTCTGTCTAGCTATCTTCTCATTCTGCAGAAGGGGGGGATGGAAAACTAAAAGAAAAGTGAACTTGCCATGAAACATCATCGAAAAGGAGCTAAATACTAGATTCATGTAGAAGCTCCTGTTGGGTGGGGCAGATACCAATGAGGTTACTTTAAATGAATTCAGCACAAGAAGCTGGTAAGTAAAAGTAAACCCAAGTAAAACTTGGAGTAAAGTCAAGCCAGGTGATTAAGCCTCGTTTGCTGTCACTAGCACGACGCCATTCAGACTATAATAAGCAAAACGCTTACTCGCAATCCGAACACCTTGCTTAAAATCCAAAAATGAAGTAGTTGAACTACATACGGAAGATTTTGTGCATGCGATCGTTTCACGTGGCCCAGCAGTGCTACGCCGGCCTTTGGATAGCCAACCTTTACCGCAGCAGTCTCTTTTCACCACACACGCAGTACGTCAGCGTGTACGTGAGGTTACACAGCACTTACTTTTCTTTCTTGTCCTTTTTGTGCGCTTCCCTCGCGAGCTGGGCAGCTTTCCTGCTGTACGGATGGACGGCTTTCTTCTCTTGCTTCCCTCCTTTGGTTTTTGGCAATTTGGGCTGAAAAGAAATGAAAAGACCCCTCGGTGCTTAGCGGTCGGCAGCCGGGGGTACCGCCTCCCACCCCGCCACCCTGCCGTCCCGCCACGCACCATGGCGAACGCCTTCCCGCCGCGGCCGCCGTCCACACGGTGCTCCCGCCAGAGGGATCCGGGCGGGCGGCTGAGCAGCGAGCACGAGGTTCCGGAGGCTGGAAGGTGCAGCTGGGAGCTGAGATGAGCTTCCTAGTACTCGGATTCGTCCTACCTAACCTTAAATTCTAAAGGGGGGAGGTTGAGGGGGAGGGAGGGAGTGTTAAGGAAGGCACACGCGATGTGTTGATTGCACTTAACGAGCTGGTCTTTTGCCACTGACTGTGCTGAGATCACCCTTGGGTGGTGATGCTTCTGATTTGATGGCCTTGTTCCAGACTTACAAGGAATACTTGAATTCAAATTTGACAATTTGTCAATACCCAGCTGGTAGCCAGCTCTTAAATAGGTCTAGGAGAGGTGCAGCCAGGCTTCACCCCTTCCAGCAGCACAGGTTTTGTGAATTGCCTTCACCTGTGCTCCCAGGGCTGACTTACGGCTCGCCTCAGGTGATGAATCAGAGCTTCAGGCCGTGACTCAGCAGATCCCATACAACTTGGTATCAAATTCTGGTTACTACAGAGTAACATGTTACCTGTTATAAAGCAGTTCTGCAGTATGCTACTTCAAAGATTAAAATACACAGTTCTGAGAAGGAGACACTGTTTTAGTGTGATGCTGTGCATGAATTGACAAATGAGTTAAACTGATTTCTGAGTTTTCTTGCAAAATCTCACGTACAGTGTTATTACTACATTACTTAAAATGGAGGAAGGTTAGAACTGCGGTTAGCATAGTTTTAGTAAAATGCAGGCTTCCTGAGTTCAAGGGAATCAAGTGAAGGTTAATAGCTGGGTTTAAAAGATAATAAAGGTAATGGGCATGACAGTGAGGGAAGAGCTCACTGTCAGATATAGCTTCAGCTTTGCTTGTCTTAGCCTGAAGTATATGGTAGGCATACTTTGTAGTAGACTTCTGGTGAAAAGGCACATGTAGAGTCTCTAGATTATGTTCAGGGTAATCAGTGATACCAAGGAATACAATGGACATAGAAAATTAGTAAGATACGCTTCCAGTAATGGGGTTACTGGTTACTTTGTTGTTGGATGGTGTGTTTTACAGTTGTGATTTTTGTATGTGCTGTTACCACTTGATGAGTAAAAGCTGTAGGCACAATAGTGAATACATCACTATCTTTTTTTTTTTTTTTAATAGTTGCTGTTACTGCTGTTCTTTCACTTAATGGTTATTTCTTGCCACTCTCTGCTGAATGATATTCTCTTAGAAATGACAATTTCCTTCTGCATATGGCAAGTTCAGCTCTGCTCACAGCAGTGAAGGTATAGAGGAAGTTGGTGTGCTATTGTTTTTGAGATGGTTTAAAAACAGAGAAATTTAGTAAGAATGAGAAAGTCTCTAGAACTGACGCATAGCCTAGATTATCCTTAATTCCACTCTTTGGAGGAGAAATTAGTTAACACCAAGCTCAGCATTGTCATAGTTCATAAACTGAGCTGAAGGAAATCTGAGGATGTGTTCTTTAGGTCTAAGACTTAGCCAAGGTGTGCTGCATCCTGATTTCATAGATCCAGTGCCATTTTCTTTTCATTATGCCAGGTTAATGCTTTTAATTTAAATATCTATCAATTCCAAGCCCAAATCTACAGTTTGCAGATTGTCAACCTTCTCTGCTGGTAAACTGGAAAAATGTAAGTAATTTACAATTTCCTTTATGGTTTATAACTATTTCTAAACTATTCTATGCAAGAAAAAATTAATTAATGGAGCATAGCAGGCATTTTTATGTTTCATGCTAGCTATTTCTGTGTTTGTTAATTTTCATTTTCCTAAATTCTGGTTTGTTTTTTTTCTCACCCTTCTCTCCTTCCTGATTATACTCAAGCTCTTCCTCATGGATTCTGTCACTAATGAAAGAAGCAGAAGACACTTAGTCCTTTAGATATAACCTTCTGGGTTCATGTAATTTTAAGACTTTCCTGGTGCACTATATGCTTGCAGATGGTTTAAAATTCTGAACAGAATATAGGATATTTAAAATACTAGGAAAATGAACAGATGGTAAAATGGAAATGTTTCAGATAGACCAATTGTTCCATATACTTGGAAAGCTCCTGATAACATAGCAGCCACATGCTCTGTGAAGATTTTGAGTTTCAAGATGTTGGACATATAGTCATTGAAGTTTAGAACTTGCTTAGGAGGAAGAACCTGAAATGAGACTATGGAGTAGTTGTGTAACATGTTACCACTGGATAGCATGGTATCTTTAGCAAAGAAAATCAAATCACATATGCTAGATACTTATTTTTGAAGATTCCCTTCAGGACCAATTTCAGTCACACTGCAAGAGAGTATTTAATTATTGCTTTGAGTTAATGCTCAATTACAAGAATGATACACAATTATGTGGTCAGATATATCTGGAGAGCTTGCTTGCATCTTAGAGCACCAGCCACTTCTGACTCTTCTTAAGCTTCTGTCTAGCCTGAAGAATTCCTCCTCCTAACCATGAAAATGTGTTGTTGTTACATTGTATAATTGCAACGCAAATTAAGATAATAAAAAGAAGCTGAAGATATTTTAACTTTTTTACGTCTTCCATAGTGAGTTGAGTTTGCTGCCCAATAAACTTATAAGATCTTTTCTGGATATTTTCACTGTACATGCAATAGGAATGGAAACATGAGAAATTTGGGGCAATTAAGAAAATAGTTACTGAATTAACACACTAATTTCCCATTTTTCTGTCTCCCACAGAAATGTGAAATGATGGAAATCTCATTATTTTGACTGGCAGTAGATAATTATGTAGTCACATCTGTTGCTGGTTCTGAGTGATCTCTTTCCTTCTTTTTTCTTTAAATCTCCTTCACTTTAGGTCCTGTACCTGCTGCAACCCAGGCTGTTATATGAATATGGTGTATAATATTTTAGGTGAGGTAACTCTGGCAATTCTGTTTTAGCTGAGATTCATGGAAATAAGTATAACTTATAAGATCTGATGAGGCTTTCAGCAGCTCCTCTAGCATGCTTACATACAATTTCTGATTTATTGTTCATACTGATATTTTCACCTTTTTTTGTTTTTTTTCTTTTAACTTAGAATAGACTTTCTCTTTGCTGCAATAAAGGAGTGCCACAGCATTGTGCGTAGCTGAAACATACGTATCTACTCATATACAGCTCTGTTATTTCCGGTTTAAAATCACGTAACTTAAAAAAAACAGCATTACCTTATACCATATTGCCATGAGAACTTGTCCTACAATGTTTCTTTCTCATTAGATAGTCTCACTACTTTTGAGTTTCAAACTGCAAGAGTAATGTGTTGGAATAGTCCTGGTGAATGTGTTCAGACGTATCACTATATACCTACAGATGTCAGAAGTTAGATCTTTTTAAATTGTTTGACTGATTTAGCTGAGTGCCTTGTTTTCCTCTGTAGACATGTGATTTCCTGCTAAATACTAAGCATTCTTAATAATTCATCTGATTATCTCTGTAGTCTTTTAATGTGGGATTTTTTTCCCATTAAATTCTTTTCCCCATTATTTTTTCCACAATTTCATTAACGTCGGTTTAAAGGAATTAGTATTGTATGAGGAGGTAATAAAGAGCTTGGACT